CTTTCAGGATAGACTCGTCAACCGAATTCTTGTTACGACCAGACAAATTATTGAGTATTTGCCATAGGTTTCTGGGGTTTGATTTATTAATATTTTTTTGATACATCGTTCATTTGATACATACACACTTCTATAGTGCATACAGGGATAGTCGTCGGTATGTGTCCCATTGCATTTAGATTGATTCTCAAGGGTCTCTGCGCCGTAGGCAACTGCCCTTCGTACGCCTCCCAAATGACCGGGACCCTGCGGTCCCATGATTGGTAAAAACATTATATTAAAAAAAATAATAGGCAGATACAGAATCGGATGATAGCACGACTTAAAGATTATTGACGTAACGCTTTCGTTAAGTCACAGTAAAACCAAAATGATCTTTTAAAATATTTGCCACCAATGAAAAGTCATAAAATATAAATATAATAGTACCTCAGTCCGTCATCAAAGTCAGGTGCTCAGTCCAATAGTACATTCGGTGTCTCACAATAACTAAATTATCTCAAGAACAACTTGTCCGATTTGAAAATATCTTATTGTGTTGAATAGTCTGTTTATCGAGGATGGCTATAGGAGCCGAGCAGAACGGGTGAAACAGCGCAGAAGAATCGGTAGTTTGTTTTATGGCATAAACGAGCAGACGGATCACCTGATGGTAAGCAATCGGCGCTTCCCATGGACACCTGAAACACCAAAGCATTACAAGTACGTTACTTAAAATAGTTTAGTAATACCCACAAAATAATAATACAAACATGAATGCGTGATATACTCATTCCTACTTAACTGACCTTAACACTTGTTTATTAAAATGTATTAAAAAGCATTTTCATTTTGCAATAACATCGACATTCGCTCGAGGAGGGTCACGGTAACGGTTTTCGCTTAAAAATAGTTATTTATTTATACTCGCCGTACTAAATGGGATTAATGGCCTCAGAGTAGATTAAGTAAGATAATGTTGGTAACATATAGTTTAGTATGAAAAATGTAGGCTTTTTTTATTTCGATTTTAGTAATGTTTATTACTAGATGTCTTAAGGTGCTACGTGTCGTGAGTTATACGATTTTGAAACAACATAATGTTTAAAAAAAAATAAAAAAAATGTATGGTATCAATAATTGTTACTGGTCTTGGCAAACTTCCTTATGTAAAAGGTTATATATAACAGTAAATTGATTTATGGGTATGATAATTAGGAATACCTATAACTGGCATATTTAAAATTACAACAAAACATAACATAACGTCACGCCTTTTATCCACGAAAGGGTAGGCAGAGGTGCACATTATGGCACTTAATGCCACTGTACAATGTAACACCCACTTTTCACTATTTATGTTATTAGTCCCATGTAATAGGGGGTGAGCCTATTGTCATATACCGGGCACAGTTCCAGACTCCGTGCTACCACTGAGAAAAACCCAGTAATACTTTGCCCGACTTAGAAATCGAACCCGATACCCCTTGCCCGGCAGTCGCACTTGCGACCACACGGCCAATGAGGCAGGCAGTTAAAATTACAGTATTAATTATTAGCGCTTCTCTCTTTTCTAATTAGGTTAAAGAATCATGTCCTACAGTTTACAGGTAAAAGAATTTAAATTTTAACACAGTAATAATTAAAGTATTTTTTTCTTTGACAGGTTACTTTCCGCTGCCAGCTATCTACTGCTTGTGTTGGCTCTGTCTCGACGTGCTTCTCTGTACAGCGTCTATCATGCATCTATGCACCATTAGCGTCGACAGGTTTGTTAATTAATATTTTAATTGGTTTTATAATTAATTAACACGTAGGCTTTATTATAGAACCTACATTGGACATGGAGTTATTAATTTTAATCTTAGTTTTAAAGGTTGGACTGATTCAGATAGTGTTCGTTCATCATACCTCTATAGTTGTCTTATTTTTAATCGGTTTTATTTGGAAGTAGTATCACGGTGGTGAATTCAATTCCCTTTAAATTTATCTGACGGATAATTTTAGGTACAAATTATTCATCCTTACTAATATTATAGATCGGGAAGTAAGTTTGTTTGTTTGTTTGTTTGTTCCGCTTTCATGCCGTAACTACTAAACCGATTGCTTTGAATTTTTGCAGACGTAAAGTTAGAAGTCCGGATTAAATAATAGGGTACTTTTTATCCCGGTAAATTTTGATATTCCCGAGGGAAAACAAAAGTATTGGTATAGATGACGCTGTGTGTATTGGTATATGTCGCATAGGCTACTTTTTATCCTTTTGTGATGCGAGCAAAGCCGCGGGTAAAAGCTAGTTTCACATAAACTTAAATTCATATTAGTTTGTCGTCTTACACAAGTAACTGTTTGACGATTGGTTGCGGAATGCTGCTCATGTATATAAGCCTTTAGCCTGGCTTGAAACTAGTCGAGTTCCTCGTCAAACAGTTACGTGATTAAGCCGAAAACATGATAATAAACTTAAGCATTGTGTAAAACACCCTTAGATTATATTTTGTTATATTGTGAGATTTTATTAAGAATGGGGATGATGACAGGGTATGAAAATTAAAAATATAATTAGTCCGTAACTTAGGTAATAAAAAAATATTAGACACGTATTTTTTTATTTTGTTGTATAATAAAACAATACTTAGATAAAACGAATCAAAGTTTAGGAGTGGGGGCTAAAACGTCATTTCTTAGTATAAAATGTACTGAGAAGTGACGTCACGCGACATTTTAAATCAATACATCTTCGAAACTATTCGTTTCCGTAAGAAAATAAAAAATACGTGTCTAATGTTTTTAAATAATCTACCAGACGGACATTATTAAATAAAAATTAGTCGTCTACCCTATTTTTTTAAAATTTAAAATGCAACATAATAATATTATTATTCAAGAATGAATGACGTAATAATTGATTGATGGGATCTTAAAAAATGTGAGATATTAACAAACTGTTCCTCCCCAGGTACCTCTCGCTCCGGTATCCAATGAGGTTCGGTCGAAACAAAACAAGAAAAAGAGTGACAGTGAAGATCGCCTTCGTGTGGATGCTGTCATCAGCAATGAGTCTTCCATTGGTTTTAAAATATTCTAAGGTACGTGTTAAAATTGGTGTACGTTGGTCTATTTTCCACGTGTTTTTAATAACTTCGTGCTAATACTGAGAATTTTTTAAAAACCCAGTCATACTTTGCCCGACCCGGGAATCGAACCCGAGACCTCTTGCCCAACAGTCGCACTTGCGACCACTCGGTCAACGAAGCAGCAACGAGAGGTAGAATTGTGCCCGGTATACGCTAATAGGCTCACCCCCTATTACATGGGACTCATAACATAAATAGTGAAAAGTGGGTGTTACATTGTACAGTGGCATAATGTGCAACTCTGCCTACCCCTTCGAGGATAAAAAGCGTGATGTTATGTATGTTGTGTCATACAACGGCAGGCACAATTTTAAATTTAGTATTTGATTATGCAGCATTTTAGTATTTTACTAGGTAGCATTTAAATTTTCATTGCGATATTTTCCAAAATGGTAGGTAAATATTCACAATATCACTATCTAAAGAATCTCTACTGTAATTATGTAAAAGAAATACCATTACATCGCTCCACAGAATACATGTAGGTCCAATAACAATTTAGTTATTATCTCTTTTTGTCATCGACACAAAATAAAACTGCAATTAAAATTAAATCATTTATTAAAAATAATTGAGTGTGCTCAGTAATTGTGTTGTGAAAACGGTCACAATCGAGCTATGAAACCAACCAGTTTGTCTAGGTGTATCTTTGTATGATCTTTTCGAACAATTAACGGTCAGTTTATACTGGGGTTGTATAGCTCAATCTGTATCCGTGTAGACACATTATTGGCATGCGTAAATGCATGTTGCACATTATTTGTTAGTCGCCCTCGCCAGCTGGCAGGGTATCAAGTGTCTGAGACAACATATTCATGCCTGTAGTACCACATTTTGGCACTAACTGCTACTGAGTAAATAAAACTGTATGTCTGTAATTATTTTTATTAATTGTAATTATGTTTTTTTCTTTATTTATTAATTTTTTTTTAGTATTTTTGATTATGGAGTTTAGTGTAGTCAATAATTTGTTTTTAGGCCTTTTTTTCTTTTTTTTATCATCCAATTACTTCTCCCACCTGGGTAAGGCGAGAGGGAGTGTCAGACTCTTACTCTAAAAACTTCGAGCCGGAGCCCGGCAACCCGTTAAGTTTTCCGCGGCTCCGTATCGGCATCAGCTCTGTTGGGCCCAATCTGTGGTGGTCTGATGGCTCCTTGAGGCGCGCGCGGAACGCGACGCGCCGTACGCTCGGGCCTGGTTCTGGTCGGGTGGTTCGGTATTTGGGATACAATAAGTTCTATATTTTAAGTGGGTGCATTGTCCTAAATCTGATTTATATTCTAAATACCTTCAGTGTCTTTGATAGACAAAGATATATATGACTTTGTTGGATTGTCTTGTTTTTTTAAGGGGGGAAAATCATCGAATGACTGCTCCCGCCTGGGTGAGGCGGAAGGGAGTGTCAGACTCTTACTGACTAAAAACCACCCCGTTCCTTCTCCTGCACGTCGAGCCGGAGCCCCCGTAACCCGAAAAAAACCGTCCGCAGGCCCGTGCTTACGGTGGCCGGAGATCGTCTCGCGATCCCCGATGCCTGGAGTGTCTCTCGCGACGGCTTGGGCGTGAGGTGGTTCGTTCCCTCATGCGCTCTGCCTCCTCCTTAGCTAGCCTGACTGCTTTGCGGAAGGAGGAGACGGCACCCCAGTCCCTCTCACTCCTTACCATGGTCTGAACCAGAGCCACCATGATACACCAGATACACCATATTAATTAATATCTACACACTATTTGTTAGCTGTTAAAGGTTTATTTAGAAGGAAATATGATTGATAACTGGATTATAATTATTGATATTTAGTTTGTGGTAGTTCGACATTTTTAGTAGTAGCACACGAATGAAAGCAAGTTCGATGTAATTATGACAGCGTATCCTTATATCATTTTACACAAAAATACCAACATTTTAGATTACTTACTTTTAAATGATGTGATTTTAAACTACGAATATTTCATTATAACTTATTGCACAATACTTAGTTCAAAAATAGGGGGAATCCCGTAACACCGAACGGCACCTAACGCCGGACACTTGTATAATCTCCATAACTGATAACACGAGTGATATTAATTATCGAGATAATAAAAGTGTCCGGCGTTAGGTGCCGTCCGGCGTTAAGGGAATTCTCCTTATTTGTAGCAAACGGCACACAGTTTAAAACCAAACACAATTACAACGATCACAATGAGTGTCGAAAAGCCATATTATAATAACACCTTTACCCACACATTCTAGGAACACAAGTACACGAACATATTATATGATTTCATGTTTTTCCAACCAGTACAGAAAATTTTAACAAAATACTGAGAAGCGTGCCAAGCGTGCTTAGCATATGTCGCATGTTCGCTGTAATTATTGTTCTAATTGATATTGTAGCTTAATTTTGATACAAGGTGTAGATTTGAAACCGTGTCATTTCTCGGGGGCATGTAACAGAAGTCATGACGGTTCAATGTAAGAGAAAATTTCGGGCCAATAGTTAAAAATATGGCTATAATAAATCGTTTAAGTTGGACAGTATTCCAGAATAAGCGATAGGAATGTTTCTTATTGGAGTTTTATGGAATTAGGAATAATATCAATTACGTGTTTGAGTTTGTGCGTTTTAAGCCGCGTTATAAAGCTAGTTACAAGACGGCGGCGTATACTTCGCACTTACTACGGCTTTCCGTAATTTCAGAAAAATGAAAAATATTTACCTACAATTTTTTTTATTGATTCGGACTCAGAATCGGTAGCCGAGTTACCTCCTAGAAAATGACGCGGCTTTAAAACAACACCTTGTATATTCGCTGATAGTCAAGGTGTTACTATGTTATATTCATATTAAGTTTATGAATAGTTTTTGTTATGTAAGCTGTTTTATTATTTATCGTTTTATACGCTGTAGTGTACCTATATCACAGCTCGCCTTGAAAGTAGCGTTAGCCTAAGAAATACCTCCTTATTTATTTTCATCTCATTATTTACCTACCGTTGCCGTTGTCGCGGAGAACCTAACGGGTTACTGGGGCTCCGGCTCGAAGTGCAGGAGAAAGAACGGGGTGGTTTTAAGTCAGTAGGAGTCTGACACTCCTTCCCGCCTCACCCAGGCGGGAGCAGTCATTCAATGATTTTCCCACCTTAAAAAAAAGCCTAAGAAATATAAAACACACACACACACCCACCCACGCAGACACCATTATTTTTTTGTGTTTACAACACGTTTCATTAATTTATAATTATGTGATTTTATGATGTAGGCATTTTTTAATATGAAAAGGTTTAGATAAAATTGGGTTATGTGTGACAGTTAAAAAACATAAATAAAATGTATAAAATGTAATAGCTTTCTATGAACCGAACTGATCTGAATTAAAAAACACCTTATAAGTCAAACAAATTATTACGTTTAAAGGAAAGAAGTAATATAATTTTTATGTATTTTTAAAGTATATTGCATATACAGGCTGTAATGGCATAAAACAGGGTTTATTTTCATAAAACTAAGGAAATTAATGTTTCTATTATGTAATAATGGTTGTAATTCAATGCTCAAGGCTGATAATGTATGAATGACACGAAAACAAAAACGATTAAAATTTTAAAAACTATTTTATTTCTCAGCGTTTCAGGAGCGATCTGAATACACCCTGTATTATGCTTGTATTACATACGATACTAAATATTTAATTAAATAATTTGAGGCACAAGTAACTCATGAATAAAATACTTATGTATGTATAACCGACGTGAAGCAACGCTTGCGTTGTGTTTCGTCGTGTGAGTGAGGTTACTGGAGGCCCAATTACCCTCCTCTTCCCCAATCTCCCCAATTCCTGAATCCCCAACGATCCTCGAACTCCTAATCCCCAAAAGGCCGGTATCGCACTTGTAACGCCTCTGGTGTTCCAGGTGTCCATGGGCGACGCCAAATTGCTTATCATCAGATGATCAGACTGCTCGTTTACTGGCTTACCCTATAAAAAAAACTCATGGATAAAATAGTAATAAAAAACTACTCATCCACTACCACAGATTTTGAATAAAATAGCAATGCTCGCGACACTGCGACGTCAAAGAAAATTTCTCTAAAGATATTTTTATTCTAATTATGAACGGGAACTGAACTAGATCTTGTGGAGTCATTTTCTAAATTGGAAAGCGGGGCCCGTTCAAATAGCAGCTTCAGAATCAAACTTGGGACCATCCAATTCTAGCAAAGAATAGAATTTTTAAATTAAACCTACTTTCATCAAAAAATCTCTTAACGGGAAATTAGTTCGCGTAATATAATCTGTGGCCTGTACGAAGCAAAAACATTTTAAATTCGGAATTTATGAATGAAAGATTATTGTAATCGAGATTTCGTTTGCCTAACGAGCCCTAAACGATTCTCGAATCGATTAATCATACTTTTTAGTATCGAATAAATTAAAGATAGCAGTGAGCAAAGCACTTAATTTTTTGATATTTTTGTATTTAAATATGTCTATTTAAGATCAAAAATTGATGAAGTTAGTGACTTGACAAGTGACATTTATGTTAATATCATCTTTCACGGGGTATGTCAATCCGTTGCTCGATTATGGACCTTCTTTACCTGAGAAGATTTTCCATAATTTCCGTTCTTAGAAGACATGTAAAAATTCACATTTTAATAGGTTCAGGTTTATCAGAGGGCGCAATAGCTGTCCAGTGTTTGACAAATATGTAGTCTCTAAGGCTAAGGACTGACGAAGCGGTTTCCATCCGTGGCCTCCACGGTTGTGGGCCTACAGCCTTAGTAGAATACAGAAATTTATAACATTACACCTTTTATCCCTGAAGGGGTATGCAGCAGAGGTACGGCACTTAATGCCACTGTCCAATGTAACACCCACTTTTCACTACATATTTATATTATAAGTCCCATGTAATAGGGGGTGAGCCTATTACCCCATACCGGGCACAATAAAATTCCAGACTTCG